TGGCCTGAAAAAATATACGTCCAATGTTGGATCCAAGTATGGACGCGGCCAATCCGAGATTGGACGTATTCTTAGTTTGGACGCTGACATATATATTGCTATTTTTTCTTTCATGTTTTTCTTTTGAATTTCTTTTTATTCGTCGTTATATCTTTTGAGTTATTTTCATTTTATAGAATATATACAAGCAGCTCAAAATACAGGTCATAGTCAAACATCTATCAATAATGTCATCTGCATTGTCATCAATTGTTTTATTATTTCTAATATCTGTTCTAATTGTTGAGAATAGTGCTGTTAATTCATGCAAAGCTCAAGTTTATCTAAGTGATACGTGTAGTACTACAGTATCCGTTCCCAATGGTTGTACTTCAGGTATTTTTAATTTAACTAATACTAATTATGCAAAATGCAATACGATGAATACTTTTTGGTCTTATCCACAATATAATTTAACATTAATTATTGAGACACCATTTACACAACAACATCAACGATATGCCATCTATCTCAATAACGAACAATTAATGTCAGCTATCTCACATGTCTATCGAATAATTAATAATCAAGAAAGATGTGTAACCCCTAGTGAAAATACTCATCAAGCGAGTACGACTTTCCAGCGTGAGTACTCATATTACTCACGCGAGTACTCGAGGAATTTTATGTGTATTTTTACTCTCCGTGTACTCTAATGAGTACTCGTACGAGTGTATTTTTAAAAATTTACTCATAGGCAGATAGATGAGTACTCAAAGTCGTACTCATGCTAGTTGTTTCGCAGAATATTTAGCAAAACACTTATGCATTAGCATATACAAAAATAAATTGGAGCTATATAGTAAAAAAACTAATGTAATAAAATGAAAAATAGAGAAAATCAATTGAATAAATTATTTATTTTATACTCTATTTTTTTTGGATGAATCATTTGTGCGAATAAAACAAATGGTGACTTTAAGATAGAAAAGAATAATGATTTTTCATTTTCATTTGTTCAATTCTTCAGAAAGATTAAGTTTTTTCTAAATATATTAATGTAGATTCGTTTTTATTTTATTTCCTAAGCTTAGGCCAAAATTCTTTCATTAAAATGCAATTTTTTTAGATTGATTGTAGAATATCATGGAACACAAGGCAGTTCGCAAATTGTGTTACAAATCGATCGCGATTTTAAAATAAGATGTGTTAATAAACTATAGACAAATAATTTTATTTTGTATTTATTTTTTTGTAAATTTCCTGATGATTGTAAATAGCGATGGATTTAAAAATGTCTGTTTAGTCTTCTAGTGTAATAAGCAATACTGTACGTTCATTTATTGTCACGTTTCTCATTGTCGTTGATTAATTTATTATTTTTCTGCTTCAGTGTATTTTACTGTCCTTAATTTATGTCTTATTGTACTCTCATTCTCTAGGATATAGAGAAAGAAACTTTTATTGTTAGAGAAGATAATTAAATATTTCTTTTTTCTTTATTTTATATAATGAAA